TAAATCTACTATTATTTTTATTTTTTCCCCTTTTATTTTCTTCCCACTTTTGGATGGTGGTTAATCTCGCCCCCCCCCCCCCCCCCCCCCCCCCCCCCATACCCTTCCAGCTGCAACCCAGTACTGGGAAACATATATACACACTCATTCACACACATACACTACGGCCAATTTAGTTAATTCAATTGACCTATAGTGCATGTCTTGCACTATATAGTGCCTATAGTGACCTATAGTGCATGTCTTTAGACTGTGTGGGAAACCAGAGTAACTGGAGGAAGCCTACGCAAACTAGCAAACTCCACACAGAAATACCAACTGACCCAGCAGGAACTCGAACCAGCAACCTTTTTGCTGTGAGGCGTCAATGCTAACCACATACTAGCCACCATGCTGCCCCCATTAAAATATATAAAATCCTAATTATTAATTTATTACTTTACTTACTTAGTAAACTGTGTGAACTCAAATGATATTATTTTTATGAGTAAATTATAAATAATGCAGATTTACTATCACAACTGAGAACCAATTTTCTAAATATTCTTTGTGCAAGGAGCTACCTCTCTAAAGCATGCAGCCCTGTTGGAAAAAGAAAGATGATAACATTTCACTTCTAAGAGTTTAGCTCTAAACGCTAGAGGCGAATGAGACTGCTGTGCTTTGTTTCCTGTTAGACAGTCGTATGATTGAAAACCAAAGAGTTGCAAAACATGGCACCCATCTCCTGCGGTCCTGACTCTTGTTTTTTTTTTTTTTCGCCTCCACCCTCTCGCTTTCTCTCTCATTAAAACTGTCACCAAGCTGCTCCCTTGAGAGTGCTTTAAAAATAACACAAATTGCGCTTGCACCGTACATCAAATAGCCACTACTCCATTTAACAAGGTTTGTCGCAGGCTTTATCTCTCGCCTAATTCTAATGACTCTCTTTAAAACCAATTGCAAGGACTAGTTTCACAGCATGGAGTTTTCCCTTTTTAAAGAAAACCAGATTTTTTAAATGTTTTTGTATTTGTATATTTTACTGCAAACTAATAATAAACAGATAATGACAGACGAGTGCTTAAAGGGATAGTTCACGCCAAAAAAATTAACTAAGAAATCTTTTTTTCTCCCTCGTGTGATTTTAAACCCTTATGAGTTTCATTTTTTTCTGTCGAACACAAAAGAAGATATTTTGAAGTAGGGATGCACTGATACCATTTTTTTTTAGAACTGATCCCTATCTCAAAACCAAAATTCTGAGTATCAATCAATACAGACCTGATCTTGATACTGTGCCTTTTTTTGATAATACAGTTTCTATAGTTCTGATGTTAAACTCAAATAATGAAAAAAATCTTTAGTAAAAATAACAGACCCATAGGTCTACTGTACGTGACAGATGGCACAATCTAAATACAAACATGATGCGTGCTGTAAACTAGGCTACATTATTTAAGCATTCGTTATGAAAGTGATCTGTTGTGAACCAGCTTATGTTTCCTTTTTTAGTATTAATATTTTTCTTTAAAATCTGTAATAGATTACCACTATTGACCCTAATCAAAACACAAACTGGTCTGTTAAATAAAATATTAATATAAATAAAACTACAGTGAAATATTCACAGTTTCAGAGTAGCCTATATAAGGCTAAATCATTTTCTGTTAATGACAATCCATATTACGCTCGTCAGTTTCACTTTTATTAATTTAATTAACTACTTTGACCACAATGAGCCAGGCTTTACAAACTATTCGCAGCACTTAAAGTATTCCGATCAGAAGAAAAAACTCATTGTTAGAATAATATTGCAGAGCGGCTAACATCGAATCTGCGTAGTGCATGAATGAAACGCTTGATGCAACACTGAGACACAGCGCACAACCCTCCGCTATCTGCGGACACTTGCAAAACTTAGCAGCACAAAGAGAAGAAATGACTGCATTGTGGATCTGTCCAATGTATTACTGAGCCTTTTCTAATTTAAAATTAAGCAAAATATTCATCTGTACTTCATATTAAACTATAGAATGGCTTCAGAACATTTATGATATAGTAGGCCTACATGACAACTTTTGTTGGCTTATAAATGACACAAAATATAGCACACGTGCAAAATTGGATTTGGATTGCTACCAGCTGGCTGATACCTGATCCAGCAAAAATATGCAGTATCGAACCGATATCCGTTTAAAGTGTCGGAATCGGTGCATCCCCATTTTGAAGAATGCTGGATAATGGTAACCATTGACTTCCATATAAGTAAAAAAATTAAATACTATGGAAGTGAATGTGTTGAGCAGATCATTGAAAGCCAAACAGTTCTGAAACAAGTGAATGGTAAATAAATAATGACAGAAATTTAATTTCTGGGTGAACTGTCCCTTTAAGGCTAACCAGAAAAGGACAAAACAACAGGATGAAAATCTAGAGTAATGTCAAATCTTTCATACATGAATTCATAACCATAATTGTTCTGCGGACACAGGGTATGAATATGGATAAAGAGGCTCGTTTGCATAATGAGACTAATCTAAAATCAATTAGGAAATACATCTGCAATTTCTGTTGCAATTTAATTAGCATTGTAATATATGAAACATTACTTTAGAACATCCAGCTAATGAAAATCACTGGGTGGTGCATTGCATATTGATTTCCTTAACCGATGGCGACATTAGAATAGCATGCAGAAATCATACTGGTCGGGCATCCGTACACAAAACAATTGAACTTTTCATAGGCCTAGCAAATGGGGATTCTTTAAAAGATTAGACATGAGCCACTGTCTGTCCTGGAGTATTTCTGCATCTTCTGTCTTTTCAGCTGTCAGTGTCGACAGATGGTTACTTTTTTTATCAATCGCAAAACTTAGTTATTTATTAATAAGACATTCATTTGATCAAAAAAAGACAGTATTAAGCCTCATTCACACTAGGAGCAATTCGGAGCAGCAAAGCAACAAGTGACCGTTCATTTTAACAAAGAGCGAGCCACTTCTGGCCTTGTGCTAAGAAATGCAACCCTGCTGTACAATGCACCACCTCTGAAATCTACATCTATTAACTGAAATTGATTTTAATAATAATAATAATAATAATAATAATAATAATAGAGTTATAACACTAATGAGAGTGACAAGTGAGTTTCATGAATGGAACCCTTCCCTTACAGTAGATATACAGTTGGAATCAGAATTATTAGCAATATCATTTGGGAAATATTAAAAAAAAAAGAAAAAAATTGAAAGGAGGCTAATAATTCTGACTTTAACTGTTTAAAAGAATAAATAAAGATTGCTTTTGAATACAATACTGGTAAAATTAAATAACTGTTTAATGTGTGATTTAGTTAAAACAGCAACAACAATTTTATGTATTCCATGTAGGAATGTCTGTTTATAACCCACCAAAAAGCCTAATTTTAGGCTACAGTACAGTCAATATTATTATTTTACCTTTATTTGTAAATCTAGTGCTTTTTAAAATGGATTTTACTTCTTTTCCTTGCTTTGTCCATCAAAATACTAATCATTTTACGTTTTTATCAACTATGGCCTTTGATTTTTTTTTAAACGTAGACTGAAAATGTTAAAGAAAGTCTATGAAGGGGTGCATTTTTCGGCTCAACACCGGCAACCTCCATCAACACGAGCAAGTCTAGATTGGATGCGCGGCCAGCCGGAAGTGTGATATGCACATTAATATAGCAGCATTTTTTAATGACACTGTATAACAATAATTTATATTTTTACAGTACTGTGACGGTTGAGTTTAGGGTTGGGGTGGGGGTAGACGTTAAAAATACAATTTATTTGGTCATAAATACTCAGTACAACTACTGTTTTTACATTACTGTGATGGTTGGGTTTAGGGTTAGGGTGAGAGTAGATGTTAAAAAAAGTACAATAAATGGGAAAATTAAAAAATAATTTAAATAATTCTTGTTATCTTCCGGCCGCAACCATATCCGATCTAGCATTAACCAGGTGGGCGTGTTAAGCGTCGCAACAACGTTGAGAATGCTTTAACTTTATGCAAAATATGAGCTAATAACGACATCCAAATAACGACAGCCAATAGGAGCACCAGTAGAGCTTGAGTGATCCTCTCTCAGCTCACTCAGAGGCTGGTTGTATTCTCCGTACTGTAGACCTACAAAGACCTGCATTTGCAGCAGATCGCCACCCAGAGCGACAGGATTCTACAAAGTCACTGCTAGTCTGAATGAAGCATCAATGATATATACTTTCATTAGTTGTGTGTTGTTGTGAGTATTGTGTTGACATTGTAATTGCTAATATGGAATAGCAACGCTTTATTATTGTTTCCACCACGGTAGGGTCTTGAGTGAAAGAAAAGCACATTCAAATTAAAATGTTTTATTGTTATTAATATTACTATTGCTACAGTATTATTAACACTGAATTTTTTAGATCATGTAACACCCAATACTGGAGATTTGGCCACTCAATTTGTTATAGTAAAGTTTATATTTTAATAAATTTAATATATATAGAATATATTTGTTAAATAAATTAATTGAATTCATATTTATATTATTTTTATGTATGTACTTTTAAAGATAACCAAAGTTAATGTTATAAATGTATGTGCTTCTTGATATAATCACATGCTCTACTGTAGTTTTCAGCAGGCCCTGTGCCAGGATGTCATAACTGAGCAACCAGAATGGAACCTCTTGTGTTTCTTCTGTTTTGTTCCCTTGCTGCATAAACATTAAATCTCAGATAATGAATCTTCCCAAGTCTTAAAATAACTATCCTAACAATATTAAAGTGTTCTTTTAAACTGCAATATTTGATGCTTTTATGGTATTTTTGATCAATCAGTTGCAGATTTGGTGATCTTTTTTACCAGCAAATGAAGAAACAAGAAATGTGTAAAATTACATTAGGGAATTAGGATTGATTTTGGGGTATCAAAGAGTCTGACGACACATTTCCATTAATAATTTAACACAACAAGGTATGAAGGAGATTATGAAACACTCACCATCCTTATCAGCTCTCCGGAAAATCTGAAACACACAGAAATACAAAATATTAAAAGAAATTACTGTACTTCACATTACTAATATTAATATATTTTACAAACACTCAAAAAATGATGTTTGCTGTTTGTCGAAACTACTTATTTAAAATGAGGTGAAACAACATAAATCTTCAGGGTTTTTTTGGGAAATCCACTTAAATAAGTAAAAACTAACTTGTTTATTTAATTCTTTCATGTTGCACCAACACAAATCGATTGTGTAGAACCCAGCATTTTTTACAGTGTATGATTTCAAATAGCTTAGTCCGATTAACTCCTAATCAAAGCTCATCCTAAATAATACTCAGCATTAAAAGTGTCAATTAATTGTTTAATTTTAATACCGATCTGAAATGTGCATACCATAACAGGCATTTTAACACATTGGCTGCAGAAAAGTTAAGTATATAGAAATAAAGGTAATTAAAAAAGGCATCTCTCCGCGGGGTTTAATGTCAGTCAGCGTACTCAGAAAAGCTATTAAAGGAGGAGGTGGTCCTATATATAGACTAAATTGCACCTCAGTCCTCGTATACCTTAGTCCTTAAAATGGTACAGTGATTAATTCCTGCATAGCACCACTAGAACAACTGACATAACCTTTAAATAGCCACATTTTATTTTATTTTTCAGATATTACCTTTCATAGTTAGTAATATGGTCGTTTGTGAATGTTAAAGGTTTATAAAGTTTCAAAGATTAAAGTGCACAATAAATGGAGTTATTGTCTATCAAAAAAGAAAGAACTGATTGTGCAGTGTCTGAAAGAGTCATGTGTAATTTCGGTAGGTAATTACATATAGTATGTTTGTGACAGATTTTGTAACTCCTGCCTACGGTCTAGCCAAAGTTCAACAGCATCTACTTTGGTGCACACTTTATTCATTCATTCATTTTCTTTCAGCTTACTCCCTTATTTATCAGGGGTCGCCACAGCAGAATGAACCGACAACTATTTAGGCATAAGTTTTACACATCGGATGCCCTTCCAGCTGCAACCTACTATTGGGCAAGTTGCTCCAATTAATTACTCTAATGTAAATATAAAAAGAAAATCTACAATGTGTCTTTACATCTAAAAACGTGAGATGCAGCAATCAGGAATGCTTTTCAAAAAAGTGACACCTCTCCACCATGTTGTCAATGTCAATAAGAGCAGTTGTCATGCCAACTTGGTATTGTAAACAAAAGCATTTGCTAATTGAGTTTGTAACTGGAATTGATGAGAAGTGCTGCATGTAAGAGTTGAAGTTCTTTTATCTTCACACAGCTCTCATGTGCCAGTGTATAACAGTTATAAACAAAAACAATGGAAATATTCCATCTCATGCGCACATAAGCCAGTCTGAGGGCTATTCACAATGAACATCCTTTTCACTTCCAATGTTCTACTTTCTATTATTTTCTATGTAAACGCATGCTTGATGGATGTGTGTGACTGTTACGGTCTTGTCTTTCTGCAGCACCTTGGACACAAGTACCACTTTTAAGACGCAGTTCATAGAGTCAGTTCTAAAGCAGTGGACCAATAAGAAGAATTTGTAGGTGTTGCAAGCTTCTGTTTAAAAAAGCAAGTTGGAACGACAACTGTTTATTTAAAAGAAACATTCCTAAGTCTCTCCCACACAAGAGCAGGTGCTGATCATGATAAGTATACAGCATCCGCTGTTGCTTTAACAACAGTTGGATGGACCTACAAAGCGATAATTTTCAGTTGAAGCTAACTAATTCTTAAATTTAATGTACAATTATTGTTTTTCTGTTGTTTTTGGAAACAATTGACTGAAAGTTTAAAAGTTTAATACAAATACTCCTAATTATGTGTTTTTATAGTATTTTATTTATTTTGTATTTTTGTTTTACAAAAAAGTATTCTTTAAAAAAAATTCTGTAGCTATGTGACAAAATACTTCTACCTGTTTAAAAGCACAAGGGATTTGTTGCTTAGTCTTGTTGAACTAGAACTGTATCGAACCTTGACCCCAAAACTGAGGTATGATCATGACACACACACATACATTTATTCATTTTTTTCTTTATTAATTTGTGTATTTATTTAAAGTGGTTGCTGAGATTAGATATGGTTTGTTGTATTTTGTCAAAATGTTGAGAGATAGAATTTTCTGTGTTACGAAATCCAACATTGCATGTATTTCCAAGGAATAATGACTTGGTCTTCAATTGATGTACAGTTTTCAAATTTGTTAATTACACAGTATTTAAAGGTAATATGAACTGAATTTTACTGTAGGACAGTTATGCAGTATGGTACTGTATTTTAAAGTTAATTAATATGTATTTTACAATAAAAATATACAATGCTGTAAATACATACACAGCAAGGTAAATAGTGCGGTAAATGTAAATGCAGTATGTGTCCTGTAATTGATTTACAGTAAGTTACTAGCGAACAGAACTGTAATACAAACTGAATTTTACTTTAGGACAGTTATGCAGTATGATCTTGTATTTTAAAGTTGCATTGTGAAAACTACTGTATATTTTACAATAAAGATATGCAATTCTGTAAATACACATACAGCAAGGTAAATGGTGCTGTACATGTAAATGCTGTTTTTTCCTGTAATTAATTTACAGTAAGTTACTGGCAAACTGAACTGTAATGTGAACAAAATTTTACTTTAGGACAGTTATGCTAGGTAAATGGTGTTGTAAATGTAATTACAGTATTTTTGCTGTAATTGATTTACAGTAAGTTACTTGCGAACTGCTGCCAGTAAGTCACTGTCGATTCTACAGAAAATTGTTAACAGTGTGTGTTTGTATCACCATAATGTATATAGAAGTGCTGAGAAAGCCTCTCGAGCTCAAATTCAGAAATGGTAATGGACCGATTATGTAAGACCTAACTATGTAAACACACAAACTATAAGCTTTTAGAAATAAGGTTTATAGAGACCAGATCCTTTTAAAAGAACCATTGGGAACACAGTTAGAAAAGAAGTCATTGAGCATTGTATATTATGAGAACATTTTGAGCTTGGATAAAAGTAAAACTAATATAGTAGGCATCAATTACCTTTAGAACAAATAAGGTAACTTCAAGCACTTCAAGCACCAATCCCCACTATTAGCTACTGGCTTATTACCTACCTGTAATTAAGATATTAACTGTTTATTAGCACTTATAAAGAATGATCTTGTTCTACATATCTAATCTTATCTAATTTTATACAATTAGGAATATTAGGATTTTTTTAACCATTTTTTTTACCAACATTACCAGGGCAAATATATTAATATAAATATTCAAACAAATAATCTAATCTCATTCATTTTCTTGTTGGCTTAGTCCCTTTATTAATCCGGGGTCGCCACAGCCGAATAAGCCAACTTATCCAGCAAGTTTTTTTACGCAGCGGATGCCCTTCCAGCCGCAACCCATCTCTGGGAAACATCCACACGCACATTCACATACATACACTACGGACAATTTAGCCTACCCAGTTCACCTGTACCGCATGTCTTTGGACTGTGGGGGAAACCGGAGCACCCGAAGGAAACCCACGCGAACGCAGGGAGAACATGCAAACTCCACACAGATACGCCAACTGAGCCGAGGCTCAAACCAGCGACCCAGCGACCTTCTTGCTGTGAGGCAAAAACCCTACCTACTGTGCCACTGCTTCGCCCTATATCTAATCTCTTAATAATAAAATAAGCATAAACAAAATGGATTCTTTCACCTTTTTAATGCGCTTTGCACTCGCGCTTCCCTTATCTCTAGCACAAACTGTAGGCGACCATCAATCGTTTTCTTAGAGAATGACAAATGGACAAATCATTGCTGCAGCTCAGATGAAAGTTTATGGAGAAAAGTAAAAAGCATTGCAGTGTTTAGATGTGCTGTGTCTGTCTGAGGTAATTATTATGTCGTTATTACTAAAATGTGTATATTCCATACAAAGTGCGAAACATCAGTTAGTTCTACTTACATGAATCAAGGTGCGCTCGCAACATTCTGAAAAGTTCAAATGTTTTTCAACAAGGTGAGCCTGGAAAATGTGCACATTTTAATAAAACTATAGTGCTTCATACTGAAACTTAATGACAAAATAGTTTTTATTGTTATCGACAATGGTGTTTGGTCAATAAATACTGATACCAAATTTATCGCCCAGCCCTATGTTTGGCTGTAATGTTTGTCACTGGCTTTGTCCAATTTGTCCAAAATAATCCAGCTTTTGACAGAGTAAAGCTGTTACTTTTTTAATGCGTTCAGCTAATCTGTATATTTTGTGAAATAATACTTATTACTTCTTTACATTATTACATTTACGCACTTTCTTTAAGTCTTGGGAGAACTGAGCACCACATGCTGGTCTGGCATGTACAGTCATGCATTTTTAGTTAATTTCAGTGATTTTTTTTTCAGTACACAGATATATTTAAGATGGCTCTGAGACTATTTTATTTTTTTAGAAAGATGCAAAAATATTGCATAGGAAAAGCTCTGGCTTCATGTGAATGTAGCCTATGCAAGTGTGTATATTGCAGATGCGTTTTGCTTGAGGAAATGCTTAAATCTGTAAGAGCAACCTGATCACACGTCCAGTCAGATGTGAAATGGACCACTTAAGACTCTCAGGTAACAGAGGGGGTAAAAAAAAAAAAAAAAAAAAAAAAAAATCACAGTTGATAGAATGTGCTGGGAAGCATTACTCACTACAGTCTAATTTTACAGCAGTTGATCCACAAATAAATAAACAAATAAATATGGCAAAGTGCAAATTTTTGGCATTCATATCTGGATGCCCGTGTTTAATGTACCGGCTGTGTGCTTATGATTAGGCGTACATGTTTGTGTCTCGGAAGGAGCGTGTGCTGAACATCCAATAATTGAAACGCGTATTGACAGCGCACAATTTGATCTGCCTCAATAGAGTGATCACCTTCTGTTGACGGCCTAAATCACTTCTCAATTGGATGAACCAGCTGCTTCATTCAGTCCTGACAGCTAACAGC